ATATATATAATGTATAACAAAGTATTGTTGCTGACGTTATCTGACAAATAATTCGTATTTGTAATTTTTTTATATTCAAATGTCGTAATTTAGAAAGCGACAAAAATAAAAATATGATACTTTGTTATGTACAATGTATATTTTTTTTTAAGAAAGTACGATTGTCTAGCTGTTATGTAGAGTAGAATTTGTATATACATGCCTTCATTAAATGAAAAAATAAAATAAAAAAGTAATAAAAAATTATATACAACTAATATCATGTCCATCTTGGGAAAATAAAGGGAAAGATGAACCTCTTGTGTAAATATATGTAGACTTCACTTTGTTAAAAGCTATCTATTTCACACACACACTCCTCAACATGTGCCTTTTCTTGGTATTTAGATGTGTATAGTGTGAAAATATTATTTAGTTAGTGTGGGACAATTAAATATGAATATTATGTGAGCTAGCTAGCATATTCAAAGTACTAAATACAACAGTGTATATGATACAATTTTTGTGTGAGACGACCTAACTATCAGGCGGGTCGATATCTATCATACATTTCTTTAATAAAGTTCGTACTTTTTTATCTTATGAAATATCATGCCTTTGTTGTTTTTTTTAGAGTATATATAAAATTTCACTTCGAAATTACGAATATATCTATTAAAAAATGTGTGATTGTCTGATTGTTAGGTGTACAGTAGTCTTACTATATGTTTATGACCAAACCTGGTGATTTTGGATTGTACCAAAAAGAGTCCCCTTTGAAATTTATTTAATTTAGAAATTCAATAATTTTAAAATTTCACCACATATTTGAGTTTAACATTGACCATAAGTACCAAAATTGACAAATCATACTCGTATCTCCCGTTAATTTGAGATTTGTCAACCTCTGTCGAGGTTAATTAATGGAACACGCGAGCATGATTCGTGTCAATTTTATGTCGAAATTCGTATTTCAAAACAGATTAAAGGGTTATCAAATCGTTCATTTTAAAATAAAATAAGATAAATAATAATAATAATACCAATTAATTGAATAAATACCAATAAGACTACTTTTTTTTTTTTTACACTAAAAATTAGGGAACTACTTTTGAAAAATTTCAAAATAATACATGAGATGAGATCTTTGCATGCATGCAATCATCATGATATATAGTAAGTGAATGAGACGCTATCAAATCATATAATAAGGCCCAGGCCCAGGCCCAGTTCATTTTTCTTGCATTAAAGCATATATTGTTCTTTTTGTTCTCTCCTGCCTTTATGGGCAGTTACATTAATGATTAAGTCAATTATTATAAGTTTTAAATTTGGACCAAGATTTTGTCTCAAGTGTCAAGACATGATGAAGGCCCGCCTGACTAAAACCCAAATTTAATTTAATTTTTTTTTGTTTTTTGAATTAAAGCATTTGATTATTATAGTTTTTAAAAATTAAAAAATCTTACAAAGAACAAATACTCCCTCTCATTCAAATTATTCAGATGTAATTTTATTTTTGGTACAGGGGCCTTCCGGTTTCCGGATCCACAGGGGAACCGACTAATCTGGAATTGAGCCGGGTAGGACCACAAGGGCGGCAAAGTTCTCCCTCAAGAGTATTTAGATGTAATTTTAATGTCTACAACAAGGGCAGTTCACACTACACTGAATCATATTCCAACGTTAAATCCAGTGGAAAAATATTTCAATGGAAAACTCGTACGAAAATTAAATTCGTCCTATGATATTTAATGTTAGAACTTCAGTTGAAATCCAACGATGGTTTAACCTAATATCTCCAGCGGGATCAAATATTTCTTGAAATATTAGTTGCTGCCGGGATATTTTTCTTAAATATTTTTAATTGCAATATGGTTATTCCAGTACAAGAACATGATGAAATTTTAACAAAAACATCCAACG